AATTGATTACATACGGTGTATACAATAACTATTATGTAGCTTAACTTATCATTCTTAATTATGTAATTATTGCATAACGATCAATTCGCATAACGATCAATTCTCATAATGATAAGTATACTATAAGTAATTGTCTATCACTAATAAATTAATATACGAAAATTCGCAAATTTGATTGGCTAAGGCATCATGCACGGTTGGAATATCATGTTACACGATTTCCTTATTTGGCAGTTTCTCTCCTCAAATGCTAAGTATAGGGTTAATTTTAGTTACGCTTTTAAGAGGATTATGGTGATTTGCAGTTACGAAAGAGACAAACGGCTAAATGTATATGAAGATACAAGTAGTCGTGTTAACAAGTTTATTATTATACTCAAGTTTATTCGTGTATGGAGACATATAACAGGGTTATGGTTTATTCGAATTATCCGTGTATGAAGACACTATAACCGATCTACTATTTTATTCGAGTTATCTGTGTATAAAGACACGATTACTCGTTAGGGAATGGTTATTTGTATGATTTATTCAATAAAGTATTCGAGTTGTCCATGTATGAAGACACGGCTGCTCTTTATTTATTGTCAGGTTGTTGGAACTTCGAGTTCTGTTCCCTTACATGAGAAATATCTAAGGCTATTTATACTTTTAGACTTTCAATCTTTGTTACTATTTTTATAAATTACATTTTTTGTTTGAACCACTAAATCTAAGAGGACCACTATCGCTACTAGTGCTACTTAGCGCTACTACAGTGCGGGCATCCTTAAACCAGCAAGTTCTATTATAAGCGGCCAAATTTTGCCCAAAATATAAGCCGGACCAAAATTAGGTCCGAACCAATGAAATTGCTGCAAATCTATACTAAAAAAAAAAAAAAAAAGAGAAAGTATACCCGATATATTTTAAATATACTTACAAGGTATCACACTATAAATAGTTAATAATTTACATTACATTGAATAACATATAGATAATAATTAAGAATATTTTTAACACAGAGAATCTATTACAGCTTGCAAAATTTTTACGATTTTTGCGCACAACCTTATTTATGTTTACATAAAATTTTTGATGAAAATTCGAATATGCGAATTGTGATGCAATTGAAATTTTCAAGCATCATTTTCGATATAATTAGTGAGTGATCGTAATGATGCTCATTTATCATAATCAAAATAAACATCGCAATCGATACTTAAGCAGTCTCGTTATTAATTTTTTAATAATGCAAATTCATAATTCGATAATTTTAAAATTTGCAAATCTTTTGAATTTTAATCACATTATGAATTAAAAGCTTGGTATTGATATAAGCTTATATGTGTTCAGAAGTATGGGCTAAAAAGTATAGGATTCGATTCTTTTTTAATAAAACAATTGTTAGTAAAAACCGCTAACAATTATAAATTTATTTGGTATTTAAATTATACCAATTTAGAATTGATACAATTTGATTTTAATACATAATATATATGCTAAAGCAATACATTGCCAATAAAAACTCAAAATAAAATTATTGAGTAAATGAATATTTTATATTCATTTTATTTAACTCCAATTCCCAACATTCGATCAAAATCTTTACAATCTTTGATTTTTTGTAACAAACAAATACTTTAATTTTTCTTTAGCCTGATCTAAATTAAAAGTTTAATTTATTAAAAGGTAAAAAGATAAATATAAAATCATTAATAGCAAACTTTTACCCACCTATTTTGCTTGCCTGTTATTTGTCCATTATGTTAATCTTATTTAAAATTGTGTCTGAGATACGGCAATGTGACCGATATTTTTTCACAGCATATTCTGCAACCTTTCCTGTTAAACCTTTGTTCTAAAAGCCTTCTGAGCATATCATCTAATCTTAGTAAGAAATACTGATTTAAGAGCTTGTGGCATGGTTTTCTTCAAATCTTCCCATGTATAGTTATATTGACTTCATGCATATCGTTTCGCTGACCCCCAAAAGTTTTCAATATAATTTAATTCGCAATGGAATTTTGGATAAAAATAACTTCATGACCTGCTGAAATAATCGCTTCTTCAAGTTTTCCACATTGTGCTTTAAAATCAGGTTGATTCGCTATCGTAGTTTTAGTACAACAGTCAGTTCTTTCTTGTTCACATCTTCTTTTACATACCAACTTCATTCCATCATGCCACAATCCTCGTTCACTCAAAACTTGCTTCAAACTCTTTGGTTTACCACACAGCTCAGGTTTATTATAATTCTCAGAAAAACACATATCTTGCAGAATATTGTCTCCGTATGTGGTACTTCTAAAGATTTAAAATATTAAATATCAAGATATAAAAAATTTAAAAGTATTTAAAATAATCTACACACCTCATTTTTGGCTATTTGCCACCAGGAGATAAATTTATATTTTTTGCCAAAAGGGCATTTTCGGAATACGCATGATGACCAGTTGCATTATCAAATGCAAAAAGAGCTTTTGCATTTGGAAACTGAGCTTCAAATATTGGAATTGCGCGATTTACAACCTAGTCTACAAGATCATTAGAATCCCACTACTTATCGCCATCTTTACTCGAGTAGGTTATAATACAAGCTTCTGATAGAAGGTTAGAAAAAGTGATCTAAAAAAAATAAAATTTTAAATATTATTAGCCGGTTTTTAAA